CCCAATAAGCTCATTGAATTCAGCCCGAGAAGAAAGGTCCATAATGTTGCAAACCTACTTCATTGAAAATCAGAAGGAACCATGATAAGGTATTGCGATTGCCTACTTACCCGAAAGAAATAGTTGAGAAATGTATGTTGAGCCTAATTCAACCTAAAGCTAACTCAAGTGATGAGAATCATCTACAATCATATAAGGAGATTACAGCGTCTGTACTTAACCTAGGAGAATCTAACTCCTCATGAAGAGGTTAGAGTTGAATTTATAGCTCCGAGCAATCCAACACCTACTCTGGGAAGAATAGACAAGGAAATATAAAACAGAAGAGCTCCTGTTTTCTTTTCCTTAAACCTTCCTTATATAATGCAAGAAAAGGGTGCCTATTGTCCTTTAAATCCAAAGACACTTTGACTAATATTAACCTACAAGGTGTAAAGGCGTACGGATTTTTTACCTGGTAGTTGTCGGCTGAGAGGCACTGTATGAATTGTTTAGGGTGGAAACCACCAAGAGAACTATAAGTAACTGTAAACCCACCTCTTTTTGCACCTCTTGAGACCCCAAACCCTGTAAACGAAAGCCACACCTTTGTCATTAGCACTGCATATAGCCATAGAAGCTAAACAAACAATATTATCTGTGGTGGAGATAACCTTTATACTGCTGATGAACAAACCAAACGACAATAAGGCAGAAGCTAAACAGTACAGGCAAAATTCTCCAGAGAATTGTGTGCTTAGGATGTATAAGAAGTATGCACTGGCAGCTGCCATGGAAGTACTTGTTCCAAGTAAAAGCAAACGCCCATTAGCTTCACCAATTCCAAGAGGCATCCTTTTCTGGCCCAATTGTATCCCAAGTACTGCAACTACTCCATAAGCAATCACACCAATCAATGGAAGAGGAACACCTGGCAAATGCAAAAGGGTGAAAACTGAATCTCTTTCCAACACATATTACCTGCAGTTTAAGTGACATACTGCTTTCAATTTGATGATTGTTCAATCTATGTCATTCAGATCAAAATAGAACAAAGTCATTTTATGACGAATGCTAACAATATGAAAAATTTACCATCTCCATCTGTAAATGGAAGTTTCACCTTTCACTTCTTAGTCTGTCTATTTTATTACGTTTTCAGAGATATAATACCACATAAATAGTTGTATTCCTCCTTTTATTCTCTCAAAAACAATTTTATCTCCAAATGGTAAAGGGATCCTATTGCACTACATGGTCTTCAATAAATACTAAAAAGTGTTCCTTCTACTCTTTAGTCAAAATAAGACATTTTCAATTGGGGAAATAGAGAGCAAATATTCTTAATTCTGGTACATTTAATAACTCATATAGAGAATCAAACAAGAGGCTAATCATCAAAGAGAAGCGCGAAGTTTTTTACATTCTGGTGCCGACCCCAACTTGTTTGTGACTGAGGCCTAGTTGTTGTTTGTCCGGTGAAAAAAATAAATGTATCCAACCACCTTTTCAGGTTCCCACCAATTTTGCTTGTCCAAAAGTGTTAATATTCCCACTAAAATTTGTTTATTTTAACAAAACTTTAAGACATTTATAGATTACTTTAAAAGTTTGTTTCTTTTAACAAAACTTTAAGACATTTATAGATTACTTTAAAAGTTTGTTTCTTTTAACAAAACTTTAAGACATTTATAGATTACTTTAAAAGTTTGTTTCTTTTAACAAAACTTTAAGACATTTATAGATTACTTTAAAAGTTTGTTTCTTTTAACAAAACTGTAGATGTTTATACAAGGTTACAAAGATACTTCTAAAGCAGAAAGTTTCTGAAAATAGCAAAAGGATATTACCAAACACAGCTGAGTAGCTGCTATTGAGGATGTTGCTGCAGCTGCTACCATCACCAACAGGACAAAATGCTTCAGAGTTAGTGAGTTTGAGGTACGTCAAGTAAGAAGTTTCCAGAAACCCAACCCCGCCAAGTGCTGCACACCAATTGTATGCTGAAATGCTTGTGTCAGCAGAAGTATTTGACACCACCACCTTAGATTCCGACTCTGACTCTGTCTCTGCATCTTCGACCTTTCTCGATGAGCAGCTCACTCGAAGAAACAATAATCGCCGTACTGAATCTCTCTTTAGGAAATGAAGCAATAAAAATGTTAATATTGGCAAGAAAAAAAATGAATCTTGAAGAGATGAAGAGTAAGTGTACCTTGAGTTGAAGGAGGGAAGATATAGAAGTAGAGCGAGATGGGACGAGATGAGAGGTTTGGGTGGGAAAAGGGGAAGATGATACGCCGATGAGACTGGCCATCAGCTCACAATTGGGTGCCACCCGCCGTGGTAGTGGTGGTTTGACTAGTTTGTCCGGTGGCGGTGGTTGGTCCGTTAATTGAGTGTGCAGAAAATATGCCCGTTAATGAAATTGGGCCACTTCAGCTTTTGGACCAACACTTCGGCTCTGGCTCGCTTGCTCAATATTAGCAAGGCTTTGGACAATATTTGAGTTGAAGTTAACAAAAGAATTGAGGAACTAATGTGCTAAAGCTAGTTAAAAAAGAAGTGAGGAGTACTTTACTTCCAAAATGTTATAATGTTGAGGATTCTTCTAAACAACTATCTTTGTGGATGGTTATTTTTTTTAATTATTACTATATTTCATTTCTCTAATTCAATTCAATAAATTACTTTTCTTTATATATTATTAGTGAAAACGTAAAGATAAAAGGAAATAAGTAGCAATACAAATGTATGCGTAAGGAGAAGGGAGCGGGTTTGGATGTTTTCTTTAGTAAGAAGTTCTACACCAACACGAGTCATTTACGTCAAATTGAACATCACTAATTGGTCGGCTCTTTGCCTTAACTGTGTTAAGGGTGATCAATATATATATATATATATATATATTCATAAAAAGTAGTATTTGTCTATATACATAATATAACTTTTTGGTTAAAGATGTTCGACTATCACCCTTGCTCCTACATAACTCCGCTATTGATTACATTGTCTAATTATCCAAGTATATAAACGTGACTATTCTAATTCATGTCACTCACACCAAGCATATTCTTAAATCTTGTCAATTAACTTTAAATGCAACTTTTAAATTTTTGTAGCTTTGATATAAAGGAGCACTATAATGAAAATAGCCTAAGAGGGATATTAGGATAGAATGCAGATGACCCATTTCCTGCTCAACTTGGAGGAATTCAATATTAAGTGCTAGTACAATTATTTAGTCAATACTCATGTCTTAATATATATTAATTTCCATTTTAAAGTTTTTTGTACATTTATTTTACACGTTAATCTTTTCATCAAGTGCATCTCATATATTTCTTTACAACGGTCATGGTACAAAAGCAGAAGCTTAAGTTTCTATTCTTCTTGGAGTTCAGTCTGTCCACACTGCTCTCCCACATCGCTGGCCAAAGTAGGACTTCAATGCAAGTGCTTGTAATAAAAGCCAGCTGCTTGGAATGGATCAAGCATACCTTTCTCGGCCTTTTGGCTAAGATCAAGTGTAGTATCTGTTCTTATCAGTTTAATATCTGATATGTGGGCTATTGGCTCACACGATATTAACTTAATTTTTTAAGGGGAAGAGTCCATTAAAGTAGCTTGCTACTTGGGCTCTTGCGTGTCGCCCATGTGTTGCACTACTGCACGGGCTTGGCGCACCCTACCAAGTCCAGCCCAAATTATTTTTTGTGTTCTATCTTTATCTATGAGTACATGGTTATTTTTTGTGTTCTATCTTTATCTATGAGTACATGGTTCTTATAAATGTTGTGTGCTAGTGATGGTCTAGATAGATAAGTGTAAGAGATGCGTTTAATATATGACAAAAATTAATTGAATTTGAATTGTATGAAAATTGAGTTAAATGTCAATGGAGTTCCTGTAACCTATAAAATGTGGGATTGAGTAGGCATCCAATTTGCTAGTATTAATACCATAGTAAGTTGTGGAGAGTCAACACCAACATACTGGGGTGGGTGACATTACTTTTCAAGCCCAAAACTTATAACCTTGAGCCAAGAATTACACCACTTTATGGAATAATATTTCCCTAATATTTAACAAAACTATTTATTCATGAAATTGACTCAGGCACTGGATATTCATTTACCCGACCATCAGTTTTTTATTATTATTCGTAGAAAAGGAAAAAGTTCCATCTCTCAAGAAACGAGTCCCCATTAAATAAAGAAAAAATTTACGTAATCTCATGAAAACGTTTTATATTTTCATCAAATATTGCGACATATAACACAGTAAAAACTAAAAAAAATTTGTCAATTCTTTTACTTCTTTGAAGCTCATTGATAAGTATCATTTAATAACTTAAAACTGCAACAGAAATTAATTTGTTAGGAACTTTTATCTTCATGTTCGATTAATTTGTTATAAGCTTTTATCTTCGTGTTTGTTTTCTGAATTACAATACAGATATGTAAGCATGTACTACTTACATGTCGTTACCATGAAAGTAATTAAATGCATGAGATTTTTCATTCTTAATTAGAAATCTCAAGTTCGATTTTAACTTATAATAAAAAATCTTCTTCTAATTGAGTTGTCTGACATATAAAACAAGGAGAGGGGAAAAGATGGGTGGGGTTTTGTTCTGGGGGGCCGCCGAAAGTAGTTCCATCTTTTCGGGTCTTATTTCAAATCTTGCATATCTAGCTAAGTATATACCTGCCTCCACAGGTTGACATCCGATCCAACCTATACGAATCAGAATTAATAAAAACCTCGAACTTCAACTATTAATTATCGGAAAAATAAAAATCTCCATAGTCATATGTAGGATAATGAAAACTTGTAACGGGGTGAGAGGGCATTGAAAAGTGTGCGAGTGGATAAAAGAAGGGTAAGGCCATTTGGAACTTATCCAACCACAGGTTATCCAAATTCCAAGTCACTGTCTAATAATTCCCAATCCAGTCCATGCTATATTTCCTTTACGTGTCTATCTATTCAAAGACTTAACACCCATGTGGCCATGCTGCTTACACTAGTCTACTCCATCCCTTGGCTTCTTCCTTAAATATCCCTCTCCATTTCAATTCTTACCATTAACACAATTCAACAAAGAGCTGATCATCTTTTCAAAATCTCACTCATTCTATTGAATTTCAATCACAAATTAGAATTGCAATCATGAGAATTCTTTCCCTTCCCTCCACCTTATTTTCACTTGTTGACTGCCAAGTTCCCAAGAATTTGACGTATGGGAATGTATCATCAGTGACATTGATTCCAATGGCGAGGTCTCAATTTCAGCCTCAAAAGAGACGTAACTTTGGCACTAGCAATACAACTCCGGGCTTTAGGTGGGTTCGAATTGACTACTTTAATTCTCTGTTTTATTTATACCAAGCTAAGATATATTTTTGACTTCAAAATGACTGAATTCTGCAGTTGGATGGCAACAGTGGGAGAGAAAGTGCAGGTCTCAACCGTTCCTACTTCAGTTCCAGTTCGTGTGGCACTTGAATTACTCCAAGCTGGTCATCGTTATTTAGATGTCAGGTACGTACTGTGCCAATTTATGCACTTTACTTCAATGAGTTTGCCAAACAGATTGAGCTATTTTAGTATGAAAAATTCAATGTTTAACCTTATAATTTTGCGCAGAACTGCTGAAGAATTTAGTGATGGGCATGCTCCTGGGGCCATAAACATTCCGTACATGTTTAGAATTGGCTCAGGTTCGGTTACATATATATTCAACACTCCCCATTTTTGAGTACCAGAAATATGAACTAATTTTAATTGCACTCATCCCTTGGAAATATTTCATTATATCAAGAATATATGTCCAATCAGTTTAATTACTTCTTTATACTTGGTGCAGGTATGACAAAGAACCCCAACTTCTTGGAAGAAGTGTTAGAACGTTTCGGGAAGGATGATGAAATTATAGTTGTAAGTCCACAAAGCTATATGATGTTAATAAGCTTTAATTTCACGACTTAATGATTTGTCAATTTGCTTTTGCTTATTTAATATCTTTGGTTTGACTTTGCATTGTATAGGGGTGCCAGTTGGGGAAGAGATCATTTATGGCTACGAGTGATCTTCTTGCTGCTGTAAGTCCCTTTTACATACTGCGTCATAAGTAAAGAAAAATATTTGTAAAAGAGAATTTTGGATGAACATATAGAGAAAATTAGCAATACTAGTAATCTGTTTGTCTATGCAGTGGCCCAGACACTTAGCCATAAAAAATATTCACAAATATAAATGATCCTGCTTTAAAATAATCCAAAATAAATACTGTTGAACTTATTTTTTTTTTAATCTGTGCCAAAAAGAATAATCACTTTTCATATTTAAAAATAATTTACCTTTATACAATGATTTATAACCACACGAAATATATGTACCTCATTCTATACCATAAGTTCAAAAGTTTTCTTTTAAACTTCGAGTTCAATAAAAATTGGAAGTGATTATTAATTTGCGACAAGAAGTAAAATCTTAGAGCCTCTGCACCTCCACACCTAAATCAACATACAAATTAAGATCCATACACAAAATTGAGTTGTAATAATATGTCTGACATAAAATTCTATGTACCCTAATTGATTATGTGCACCAATTATTTTGTAGGGGTTTACTGGGGTGACTGACATTGCTGGAGGATATGCTGCTTGGACAGAGAATGGTCTTCCTACTGACTCTTGATGTACAACATTAATAAGCACAATAACACCATCTTAATTACTATGAACAGTAGTCAAAACGAAGTCAATTCCCTTAAGCACATCAAAATGCGGACAAGTGTGGTGGAAGTTATAAAGAAGCAACTTGAAAATACTTGTACAGTAATTTTTAGGCGATATCCTATATATGTGGTGAATCTGATAAGATTACTGAATTTTATTTACCATATGTGTAAATGTTCTCCTCATTCTGATGAAATAAATATTATTGCCTGAAAGTGCTCTCATCTGCTGACTTGCCCTCCCTCAAAATGGTTGTCATGTTTTGCTTTCAGAATGTTAGTGTTAGACTAGAATTTTTAAATACAATTTTTCTCATTTTGATATGTAGTAAGAAATTGCAACTTGTACTACTCTTTCTTATCGTTATTGAATATCTAATTTGAAAGATGAATTAGTCAAATTAATATTCAAAAGAAGCAAAAAGTGATTAAATTTTTTTGGAACAGAGGTACTGATATAATATATGCACTTGTACAATTGTATGTGTTCGACCAAAAAATATAAATTTTGGTTCGAATAATTAAATTTATATAAATAATGGTTAATTTTAGCTAACAATAATATCCCTAGATAGAGTTCTTGAAGAAACAAAAAATACTATGTAAATATAGTCGGACAGTGGTGGTATCATACATTAACTATTCTAGAAATCAGAGGCAATAATGTAGCATTCAATATCAATGAATAAGTCACCCAAGAAATGATGGAATAAATGAATGTTTTTTCTCACAATGATGAAAGATAGACAATCCCTTGAATTTTTGAGTTACTCTCGGATCTAGTGGAAAAATATAGACAAGAATCTCAGTGAAAATGTGATGTTTGTATCTTAGCAATGAGATCCGATTCCCTTTCAAGTCAAAGTGTGTTTTTATAAATGAATCTCATATGTCCCCTATCATAGTGTCTTTTTCTATTTATAGGGAACATGCTCCCAAAAAATCCTAATAGTACAAGTGCACAGAATATCTACTAGAATATTCTCTATAATATTTTATCTTGAAACTAGCAGTTATAACTCCGTCAAAAGTACTCGACCTTGGCCTCGACCCTTGTTGACTCTTTGACTTCGTCCCTTGTTGACTCTTCGACCACTGACTTTGCCGCTTTTTGGGCCATTTCGACAAACGACGACTTGAGAACTCTTCCCCTAGTACTATCAACCTTTGGACTTGCTTTTTGGTGGTTAAGAGTTCTGGTATCCCCTCGATAGCTTTGATTTGGTCTGGGTTGACCTCGATCCCTCACTGCGACATCAGGAAACCCAAGAACTTTCCCGAGGCTACGCCAAACGCGCATTTCTCCGGGTTCATTCCGTATCATTTGAGTATGTCTAAAGTTTTTTTCAAATGATCGATGTGATCCTCTGCCCTTTTGGACTTGACCAACATATCATTTATATATACCTCTATGGTCTTACCGAGCTGGTTTTTGAACATCTTGGTTACCAAACTTTGATAAGTAGCCCCCACATTTTTTAGTCCGAACGACATGACCCTATAGCAATACGTTCCTGGGTGGGCGATGAACGTGGTCTTCTCCTAGTCTTCTTCCTCCATGAGAATTTGATTATAGCCTAAGCGTCCAAGATACTCAATAGTTCGTGCCCGGTTGTTGCGTCGATGAGCTGGTCGATGTGGGGTAACGGGAACGAGTCCTTCAGACATGCTTTGTTCAAGTCTTAAAATCCACGCACATTCGCCATTTTTCATTTTTCTTTTTGACCATCACTAAGTTGGCAATCCACTTGGGGTACTTCGACTCCCTGATGGAGTTGTTTTCTAATAGTTTTTTCACCTCCTCGCGGACTGCATCGTTGATAGCGACATTGAATTTACGTCTGACTTGACTTACTGGGGGGTGGAATGGGTCGATGTTTAACTTGTGTGTGGCGATTTCCTTTGGGATGCCCGACATATATGCATGGATGAAAGCAAAGAAATTTGCATTAGCTATTAAGAATTGACAGAATTTAATTGGTTCCTAGAGTTTGTAGCCGATATAGGCCTTCTTGCTATGATCTTTGAGGTCTAATTGAATGGGATCGGGGTCTTATATAGTCGAACTTGCAGCCTCGACCATGTCGGGATCCATGATGACATCCCTGGTTTCTTCTTGCTTCCACCTCGACCTTGTTGATTGCTATGCCTCTTTTTCTTTATCTCTTTTATGTTGGATGATCCTTCTGTCCAAGGAAATGCGGTAGCATTCCCGGGACGTGCGTTGTTCTCCGCGAATGCTGAATATCCCCCACGTTGTGGGGAACTTAATTACTTGGTATAGGATGGATGGGATAGCTCTCATGGGGTGTATCCATGGCGGTCCCACTATGGCGTTGTTCGTAGTGGCCTGGTCCATGATGTGGAATGTCATCTCCAGAGTCACGCTGCCGGCCAAGACGGGGAGTAATTTCCTCGAATGTTCGCTCAAATGCATTATTAAAACATGTTAGCGTGATGCAGCGCGACACTATCTTATCCTCGAGCGTCATTTGGGTTAGGACTCGGGGATGGATAATGCATGCACCACTTCCATCGTCCACCATTATGCGTTTGACATCGGTATCTAAAATGCGTAAAGTAATAACGAGGGCATCATTATGAGGGAAAGTCAAACCGTCGGCATCCGACTCGTCTAAGATGATACTTTCTTCGAGTCCGTCATACCGTTTGCGGGTGATAGACTGCTTGAGTTTGTGAGTGGTGGTGAACATCTTGTTGTTGATAGAGTCGTCGTCGCTGCAGCCGATGATCATGTTAATGGAACGAGCTAGCGATGGCGGCTTCGGCGGGCCTTGATGTTCACGTCCTTTGGCGAAGTTGGTCCTCCCCTTATTGCTTAACAACTCTTTGAGGTGCCCTTGTCGTAACATGTTTACGACTTCCTGTCTGAGGACGATGCAATCTTCTGTTTTGTGCCCGCGTTCCTGGTGGAACTCACAGAGGGCGTCAGACTTTCTAGTGTTCGGATCTGATCTCATCTTCGGCGGTCACTTCACTTTTGTTCCGAGTTTCTCAAGAGCGTAGACTATTTCTGTAGGCGACATACAAAAATTGTGAGTAGATAATAAAAGAGGCATAACCTCTTTCGTTCTGACGAGTCCCAGTCCTTGGTCAGGACGAGCCTTTTTCATAGCGGAAGGAGGGTGCGGCGACCTCCCTGACATATGGTTGGTGCCGTTCCTTGTGAGGCCGCAGAATCGGATGATCTCTTCTGGTACTGCCTCTTCGTTCCTTTCTGGATTCGGCTTATATCAAGGTTAGCTGGTGAGTTGGTCCATTGAGATCGTCCTTGTCTGCTCGGACCTCGGCACAATAAGCATTGTGGATTTCGTCCCAAGGGGTTGGAGGACACTTCATCAATCGGCTCAACAGTTTTCTACTTGCTATTGAACCCTCTCTATTCAGCCCGTTCTGAAAAGTTGTGACTGCATCACTTAGTCCCTCTCCCAGGGATTGCTTAATAGCAAATATGTCGTTTAATCTCGCCTCGGCCTTCTTGGCTCTGGCATGGGCGGTTACGAACTTATCGGCCATTTCTTCGAAAGTTTCTATGGAGCGTGTTGGTAGCTACGAATACCATGTTAATGCCCCTCCCGTAAGGGTCTCTCCAAACTTCTTCAGCAAAATGGAGGACATTTGTTCTTGACGAGATGGTTGCCTTTCACGGCGGTGACATAGTGAGTCATATAATCTTCAGGATCAGTCATTCCGTCGTATTTTTCGAGGAAGGGCAACATTTTGAAGGTATTTGGTGTGGCTTACGGGGCTGAATCATCACTGTACGACTGCTCTACGAACCTGCCGACGTTTCTTTTCGGCAGCAACTTAAGAGCACCCGGTATCTTGTCAACTCGTTCTTGGTGTTCTTTCATATGATCTCGGAGTGCCTTGTTTTTATTCTCCATTTCTTCCATCCTCTTTAGAATGGTAGCGAGGGCGTTGTCACCTGCGCTATCAGTAACATTGTTAGTCATACCTGTCGTTAGAGGGAGGGGTCGGGTGCACTGCTCATCTATTTGTTGTATCTTGCAAGCCCTTGTGGTTTCTACAGCCAGGCCTGGGGCGGGTTTGTTAAGGACGCTTGATAGCGTGTCGGTCAACCATGCCTCGAGGGCTTTTTTCACAGCTGGTGACATCCCTTTCTCTATAGACGCGGGGACCTATTTTCCGTTGGGTTTCTTTATGCTGCAGTGTGGGGGTGGCAACCTCTCTCGCCTAGGGACGCGTTGGGCATCGTGTCCTCACCTACTGTTTCACAGCTTTCGTTGATGACATTCATGAGGTTGGTTGGGCAGTCACATGTTATTTTTGTCCTTTCTCCTTGGTTACCTACCATGTAGGGTTTTGTATACACAAAGAAAGGAGATCTCGAGATTTTTGACGTTAGTGACTTGCGTTAATTGTAGATCTAGAGGAAACTAAAAATTTAACCAAAACATCCCCACAGACGGCGTCAAATTGTTCGACCAAAAAATATAAATCTTGGTTCAAATAATTAAATTTATATAAATAATGATAAATTAATACTGTAGTAACTACTATGTTTCAAGAGTCAATCAATGTTAAGGATGAATTTTAATACTTACGTATCAAAGTAGCTGGAAAAATGTCTATAAAGGCACTCAAAGAATTAAGAAACATTGTTCTAAACTAACATTCTAAAAAGAACGATTTGAGTTGAGACGAATTAAAGACAAGAAACAACTAGTAACTACAATTTAAGATGCGTAAAACTTTTAGCTATAACTATTTTAACCAAATGATTTAAATATTTTATCAATAATTCATAATTATTAAATATTATATAGATTTAATACCCTAAAATCCCCCTAAACTATCATGTTTTTGTAAGTTTCTACTTAAACTATTCGGTGTCCCCAAAACCCTCCTGAAATATATTGCCCTTCATATTAAAAATCCCTCATTGCATTCTTAGAGGTGCGTTTCTAATTATTTAAAAAACGTGTCACATAGCACTACATGTGGCTATTTAACTCAGCCTAAAATCCGCCTAAACTATCATTTTTTGTCAGTTATCTACTTAAACTATATGGTGTCCCCCCCCCCTC